AGTAATGCAGAAATATTTATAAATACCTCTCGACCTGAGGAACGTGTTCGAATGGTAAAACCTAGAGCGGAACTTCAGAACCTTCCTTCAGGTTCGACTGAAATATTCGTAGCCGGTATTTTAGACCGTTATGTTCAAAGATCCGATCAGTTAGAAACTCTTTGTTTAGCTGATTTTGCATCTAGGTATAAATATTTTAAATCTAGTAGAAGAGCACAAGATAGTAATCATGAAGAAGAAGAGAGGGAAGACGATAATTTACCAGAAAGCGGGGTTTTCATGCCTATTAAAGACGGTAGCGGTTTTGTGAAAAAACATACCAAATCTTGTATTATTCGGTATAGAAGGTTTAACCCAGATTTGGCCAGAGTTGAGTATTTCCGCGCAATGGTAATGCTTTACTATCCATGGCAGAATGAACAGCAAGATCTCATTGTAAACAATAATGAGCAGACTTGCATTACGCATCGTATTATAATTGAGGAAAATCAAAGAAAATATGATGTTTTTGAGCAAAGAGAACTTGAAAATGTTCTAGAAAGTCTTTATAATAAAATAGACTTGGAAGAAGGTGCTCAAAATGAACTACCTATCGTGGAAAATGAGTTCAGAGTGTTGGCACTTCCAGAAATAAACCCAAATATAAATTTGCTGGACTTGCATGGCGAAGATTCAACAGATAGTGGCACTGAATCTGATTGCAATATTAGACTTATTAAACTACCCCCTTTAATTCCAGTTGAGGAATTATTTTCTTTAGTTCATCTAAATACTAAGCAAATAACCTATTTGACACATTTGATGCACCACCTAAAAACAAATCTCCCAGTTTATGAGTTCATTGGCGGCGGTGCAGGTGTAGGAAAGAGTCGTTTGATATCTGCAATATATCAAGCTCTTAACCATCGTTAGAATTCTACACCTGGATCGAATCCAAGTTCCTTAAAAGTTCTTCTTTGCGCACCTACGGTGCAGAAACTGGCGACCGGAATAGGTGGAATGACCCTTCATTCAATATTCTCTTACCTGTTAATCAGTTGAATAGAGTTGAGGCCACTTAGCAGCAGCACAGTGAATTCATTGTATTCCAGACTTATCGATTTAAAATTAATCAATTGATGAAATAATATCGATGGTAGGTGCTTGTATGTTTAGCTCTGTTGATGCGTCTAAATTTCAAAGTAACAGCCCCTTCGGTGGTATACCGATCATAGTGTTTGGTGATTTGAAGCAACTCTCTGTTGGAGATAGGTGGATATTCTCTCTTAATCCCAATGATCATACAGCACTTAGTTGGTTCCCCTTTGTGTGAGTTATTTAAATACTTTTTACAGAGATAATGAGACAACAGGAGATCAGGCCTTTAGTTGCATTAAATCATATGGCATCTGGTACTATGACAAATGAGGACATATCACTCATTGAAACTCAGTAGTTAATTTCGAAGAAGTTCCCGATGATGCCATACATTTATTTTGTCCAGAAAGAGACAAATAATCTCGCCGCCAGTAAAATCCCAAGCTTTCCTTTCTGCAAAACTGGTAAAAAGTAGCGCCGTAAAAGCAATATGCAGAAGAATTGCTTTCGCTTTACAGCTGCAGACACTGCCAAGTGACTTTAAAATGCCATAAACCTTGCCAATTTGTGAAACACCGCTTGTGCGTAACGGGTATACGGCACAAACGCTTGTACGAAGCCAATTTCCCGTATTGCTTTTCCCGCTTAGTACTGGCAATTTGGTACAGAACGCTGGCTGAACATGGACTGGAAGGAATCCGATCTCACTAATCGCATCCCTCTACTCTCCACTCGCTCGCTATTAAAGCATCATTCAATTATTCCGCTAAAAAGCTCTTATTCACAAAATCAAAACCTATAAAGCCGCCAATTACCTCGGCAAACCAACTTATATATATACACTGCAATCGCTTTCCACAAAATATTCTCACCAGCCCTTCCTATACTTTTCAAATAGATACCTTATTTACTTAAAAGTAGCTTCATCACTTTCGCTGTTCAATTTTAATTGGCTACAAGACATCATTTATTCCGCTGGCTTAGAAATCTTCATATACATGTAATATAAAAACGCTTTATTTATTACTATGCTAAATATTTATATTTTGTAAAAGCAAATTGCTCACTGCAAAAATTTTGTATACCGAATTTACTCAATGCTGGCTTGAGCCAAATACTTTAAGCTGCTTATAAAAATAAGCAAACCTGCTTATATACAAAGCATATTGTACTTATACAAATAAAACTGTAAAAATTGCTTCAACACAAAAATTTTAAGCAATTTTATTTAAATATTTCCCATATTATATTCTGCAATTTCTATAGAAATTAACTTTCTCTGTAAAACAGTATTGGCAAAACAGAAATGCCGCTACGGTATGCAATAAAAATATGCTAGTATTGCATTTGCTGTTTATTTTATGTATGCAAGACGCAGCAAAGCCTTAATTGAAAAACTTTGTTCCATGCTTGGCAAATATTCATACACGCATTTTCATGGTAGGCATTTTCAGCGCAGATGCTACATTGTAAGCCGTACTTTTGAGCAATGCGCTGTCGCGGCGGCTGGATCGTGGATGAAGCTGCTGTTTTAAAACATTTTAAAAACATACCGTAAATACAGTAAAAATTTAGAAATTGCCTGCCTGTTGTACTTATGCCTGCAACATTGGCCAACGCCATGCAATGAAGCCATGTACAAGAAAAAGCCTGTTGGAATACCTTACGCAAAATACCACAAAGGCCTGCTTGCTGTGCCATGTACCACAATATACTGCTTAACAGCCTGCTCATTTTAAAAATTTGTACGCCTTTACCTTTTGCTTCGCGCATATGCTCGGCCTGTAAGCAAAAATGGCCTTCATGTGTGCAAGCATTCTTTTCATACTTCTCAATACAGTTGTAATGCATTCTATATAAAATCAATTATAAGCGTATACAAAAAGCACAAGAACGATTTCTCATAATTTGAGTAAATTTAGTTTACAAATTGCTCTAATTATTTTCACTGTGAGTAAAAAGTAAATAACTAAGGCAACAGTTCCTACTTCTAATTATTAAAATATATAAAGAAGTCTCAAACGAATATACCATTTAACTTTGCGAGAGTATAAAATGTTCGGTTACATCCGAATTTAACCCTTCCTTACTTGTTATTATTGTATTTAGATTTTTGTTCATGCGCATGCCAAAGAACATCTGTGAATATGTATATATGTATGTACATTTTGCTTAGTTCCCTTATATAGTGGTGAAGTTCGTTTTGTTCCCTTATAGGGTGGTGAAATTTTATTACTGAACTTGCGCGTTTTCGATGTTAACATTTGCGCCTTCTCCACTTGTTCACCTAACGGTTGTATCACCTAAAACTAATCGAGTTAGATATAGGTTTATATATATATATATATAAGTGATCGGGAGGACGAGACCAGTTGAAATTCGGATGTCTGTCTGTTCGTCCATCTGCCTGTGCATGCTGTAACTTGAGTAAATATAAATACAAGTATATCGTGATGAAACTTGGTACACGTATTCCTTGGCAAAAGAGGACGAGTTCGTAGATGGATGTGATCGGACCTCTGCCACGTTCACAAAACGCCATTAATCAAAAACAAATAAATTGCCATAACTGAGCTCCACAATAAGATACAAGACTGTTATTTGGTATACAGGATCACATTAAGGAGAAGCATCTGCGGTTTAGATTTTTTTTAAAAGTGGGCGTGGTCACGCCCTCTAATAGGTATAATGTGCATATCTCCTAAGCCGCTAAAGCTACAATAACAGAATTCACTGAAAACAAATATTTTTGCAACTCTATTTACAGTGTGAAAATGGGTGAAATCGGGAGATAAGCCCGACCACTGCCCCTATAACGGTACTGTTAAAAACTACTAAAAGCGCGATAAATCAAGCACTTAACACGCCAGAGACATTACATTTTATATCTAGAATGGTATGAGATGACTTTATAGGAACCGCGTTTAAAATTAGACAGTGGGTGTGGCACCGCCCACTTTTAGGTGAAAACCCATTTTCTTGGGATCTTCTTAACCGATTTCAACCAAATTCGGAACATAACATTTTTCTTATATTTCTATGTTATAGTGCAAAAATCCGATTATAACTACGCTAATTTCCCATATAACACCATTTTAAATTCCATCTGATTCTTTTACTTTTTTCATGTAAAACTTTGCATGAATAATGCGTTTAAAGTATGCCACCTTGTGACCAAAAATTGTCTGAATGGAACCAAAACTGTTCAAGCCCCTAGGTACTGAATATGTGGACCCCAATGCCTATAGTTAACTTTTTACTAATAATATCATAATTCATATAATAAAATAAATAAATAAACTCTCGATAATAGTATGTCTTTGTGTCAAAAATGGGTTGAATCGGATCAATACTTCCTTTAATATAAAATTTAGGGCTTTGATTCTTGCAAGTTGCGAGAGTATAAAATAGAACTTAGAACTCCTTACTTGTTTTGAATATAGTTTTGTAATTCGAAACCAAATAAAATTTTTAAATTCAATACATATAATTTGGCATTATGTTTATTTTGGTCTTGATCTATTTAATTTACTGAATAGAGCTCTCGTACTATTGAGTATTGCTTCCCACTTTGGAAATTAAACAAAAGAGGGAAAGCAATGATAACAACAGCAACAATATAAATATACAAAAACAAACATATATATGTATGTACTATATAGTGTATACAGATATATGTATACATAGATAGGTAGATATATGTATAAAGGAAGACAGCACAAATTAGATGGATATTGTACAAATACTATTACAATTTATTAAACATATAAAATATTGTAAAAATTAAGCTTATCTAAATGATAAACAAACCTACGCACATGAAGCAGATACATACATTTTAAAAATAAAATTCATAAACTTATCAGAATAACGCTTCGTAAGAAAATATTAATTGAAGTTCTGTCGCATATTTACACAAACAAAAACAAGTATGTAGAAAGAAACTTGCATGTAAACTGAGGCTTATAAGCATACCTATATTGGACGGATTGCACTGATGGTGTTGATCACTACAAACTCGTAGATAATTCACTTAAAATTAATTATATTTACAGTACTCTGGTATATTTCTTAATGCAAGTAATTTAAAACATATAGGATACAAAAATAAAAGTTGTCCCCAGATGGAAATACTCGTACTATATATATATATTATTATATATATAAAGATTATCTCAAAACCATATTTTTTGACGTAATTTCGTATTTTCCCCATACTCGTGTTAATATATTTATAAGCCAAATTTAATTTTAAAATTTCATGCAGATATTTCTACATATTCACACATGTACAGTTTATTTAATAAGACCTGCATCTCAATACAATAAGTTATTATTTATGAATATATCTACATTATTTTTAAAAATTCAAAAATAAAAAGCTGCCTAAAGGTCTAATAATTATTTTCGAATTAAATTAAAGGTTTTATTTAGCATAGTTAGAATGAACCGAATTAGGTGAAATATGCAAAGTTTTGTTCGATAGCTTGTTGTCATTTTGAAGGCAATTTCATAATGCCACTCTCATAGAAACCCTTGACCCTATTGGAAAAAAGCTAAGCTTTTCTTGAAAGAATTTTTCACATCATTCGCCATAGACAGGAACAAGTAGAAATCATATAGTTGCAGATCAGGACTCTAAGGTAGATGCAAGAACCTCCTAACCAATCTCCCTGGCGTTGTGCTGATGAAATTCAATTTCTCTTCTATCCACCAAAGATGGCCACTTCTGGGCGAGTGCTTCCTTCAGACGCGCCAATTTTTCAAAGTACAGGTCCGAATTTAGAGTTTAGCCGTATTGAAGCAGATGATAGTAGATGATTACCGGCTAATCTCACCAAATGCATAGAAAAACTTTTTTAACTGTCAATCTTGGCTTGGCCACCGTTTGCGTCTGCTCTCCGCGATTCGACCATGACCATTTTTCATTACCAGTAACTATTCCATTGGAAATTCGGTTATTGAATTTTTTTGCGGTAACTCGTCTGGCACCCATACATCGAAACAAAAAATACTGAGTCAAGTAATCATAAAATTTTGTAACGATTTTTTTTGTACAAAATCTTGTCTTTTTAACGCCATATAGATGTAATACATAAATGTGTATAGATATATTTTAACATGCTAAGTTATAACGTTAATACATTAATTATACATAAACTGTTATTAGAAATCTATATTACTATACAATAATTATTTATGAATTAGAATCAAGTAGTCACTATGTGGAAAAAGCCGTATTCGATTCGCCAATTCTTTGTTCGCTATGTGTGAAGCTTTGCTTTCGTAAATAATTAACTACACTTGAAAGCAAGAACAAAGTTATTCAGTTAAATTTTAAATGGATACCTAATAAAAGTGATAAAATCTGTACTGCTTTCTTTGATTTACGACTCTAAATGTACATATTGGCGTATCAATATTCTAAGCCGTCAATATAAAGTTAATATAATATAACATAACTTACAAATATTGGTAGAACTTAACTATGCGATTCGAAATTTTTTAAGTCTATGGATTTTAAATTAAAATTCCTATGTCAACACACATTTATTGTTGTCAATGGCGTAATTTCACCGTTTCTTCTACTTACAGTTAAGATATAATTCCAAGGTTTCAGAAATGAAACTGTACCTGTGATTTCGTTGTTCGGATGTATCTATGTGCATAGTATGCCGAGAACTAATGCTAGTTATAATATGCAAACGCGATAGATTCGTTGCCTAGATTCTATTTAGTCCAAAAGTATATGAAAAATAAGTAATAATAATAACAAATACGCCTAGCGATAATAAATATGTAGCTGGTAATTAATATTTTTTTTAATAATTTAAAAAAAAATGTCAAAAATCTGTGAGGTTACATATGAAAATTATCAGAATAGCTAAATATGGTATACATATGTGTATTATTTAGTACTTAAATTATGGAAAGCATCTGGGCTTTCCAATTATCCAAATAAAACAAATCGTAATTAATTGTTATACCTTACCGAGAAATTCTTGGTACATAACGGTATACCAAAAAGTCCGAAATTATTTCTATATAATACATATAGAAATAATAAACTATTTAATATCACTCTCTAACTGAAAATTTCAATAGCAAGTCAATAAAAACAGATCTCCCGCCTCACTTAGAAATCTGTTTCCTAAACCGATGTTTGTGGCACACCTTCAATAACTTGTGTCCGAGATTGAGGATTTGCCTGCGATTGAACAGATGTCATCGTTTGTCCTGAGCGTTGCACCTGCGAAGCAGTCGTTAATGTAGTTGATGTGGTGTGTGTACGTGCGCTGGGCACCGGCGTTGTGCTGCGACTGGTCACAGTGCCCAGATTAATGGGTGCTGTGGTTGTAGAGGCTATGTTATAAGTAGATTTAGGCTTACAACTTGCAGACTCTGATGCGGCTGAGATCGTGGCAGTTGTGGTTGTTATTAGTGGTGTATTCGATATTGGTGCAGGCGTGGCTCCCTCGCGTGTTAATAACCTTTTTTCTTGTTGTTTTGTAATGGAGGCAGCACCATTATTTAGAGCACCTGGACGAGTAGGGCGAGTACTGCTCAAGTTGCTGGTCAATGTGCCGCCATTTGTTTCCTTTAAAGAAATCGCCGATTTTAAGGACGATTGGCTTCCCGATTTGTGTGCCATTGCCAACGAGCTAGGAGATCGAATGGATGTTGTATCGGTATGAATTTTACTGGCAAGCGTCTTGGATGACGGAGAATCACGATATTCGTAGATATTATCGCGTGACCGTAACGCGTGATGATTGGCCACCATGTGTGCATTGTCTACACCACTTTGACCATCATCAGGCAGTTCAGAGTTTATAAAAACATCGTCATCATAAAAATCTGATCGTCTGTATTAAAACAAAATTATAAAAATTGGATAAAAGTAGAACATGAAATGATTGTCGCAAATTATACGAAAATAATGGGTGGAAAACCTCCTAGTCTTTGTTAATATATGAATCGATCTTAATTTTTGATAACAAATCGGAGTTATATGAAAGTTGATAATTAGGTGTGGTTGTGGTAAGACTTTCTCATGCAATTTCATCTAAAAGTGGGTTATTCATAGTCAAAATTTACTCAATTAACCTCGGGACTAATTTGCTGCGTTTGTGGTTTTGAACAATAATGTTATATGGAACGTGTGTGTGGTTATTGCCGAAATTCTACTTTCTAGTAGAGGAAACGGTCTCGATTGCTAATTGGTTTCGTTTATGACGTTGACACACAACAACAAGAAGTTTTATGAAATAATTCCAAATATCACTTGCAAGATCAGACGTACGGAGGGATAGACTGTCAAAGCGAAATTAGATCAATCCATCTTTTATGGAATTTTTCAACCCTAGAAATCGATTTACCTACATACATGTGTAAAATTATAGACCTTTTCTTACCTTTTGGCATTGCGCCACATAATACAACAGATCACCACTAAGACGATGAGGAAGAAGCATGCTACGGACATAGTCCAAAAAGCGATTTGCAAAGGCTCTTTAGGCTCCCACCAAAATTCTGTTGTGGGCGGATAGGTAGGCACCAACACTCCAATCACTGTTGGCAAATATTGTGTCCAAAATGCACATTCGGTTTGGCGATAATTGAGCAAAATTGATGAGTTGAAAGTTGTATTGATATTCAAATAACGAAGTTCACCCTGGTAGGCGCGCTGGAAATGCAAACCCAATACTTGTTGAGGCGTTGGATTGCTGTAAATAGAATTTAATAAAATATGGTAAATACTATTTTCAATATACATATATGGACATGTATATATGTATGAGAGAGAGAGAGTACTATGTTATAATCTTTTCTAAATATTTTCGATGGAAAAATATTTATTACATACATAAAAGGGTGACTTACCCATATCTAGCGAAATTTGAATAGGTTTGCATGAAAAAATGACTCATGTTGCGATCGTTGTCGGTCCACATGTTCCGCTGTAAATGATCCTTTTTCGGAAAGAACTCAATATCCATGAAAGGTGCGCCAATAAGAAAATAGTGTTCTATATCATGTGGATATTTGCGCCATTGTGGATAGTTCAAAGCCTCTACAGTCGTATTTAAAACATACATATAGACTGGTATACGCTGTTCCAATAGTAATTTTACCATTTTGTCAACCGGAGCTCGGTAGTACAAATCGGAAAGCATATTAATGTATTGATCACGTATTATCGAATTATTGTTGGGATCTGGCCAATAGGTATACATGTATTTGATGGCTTCATAGACGCCACTTGGATTTAATGTGTAATTGTAGCGAAAGACATGTTCGCGGATTTTCTGATCAAAAAATGTCTCATCGATTTCGTAATAAGGTGCTAAAGATTCATTTTGTGCTACAAAAAAAGCTGCCTCTTGGGTGGTCACTCCAGCCATGTACTGTATACCATGATTAATGTGACCCTGACGTATGAGGCTTTCTGGTGTTTGTGTAAGGAACCGCCAATCTTTTTCTCGCCAACCTTCATACCAGTCATCACCGGGCAGTGTGATATTGTGATCTAAAACTGGACCCCAGGCAAAAGTGCCCACTTGTGGCGGAAACTCCGCATTTCCTAATTCATAGAAGCTACGTCCAGTGCGTAGACAGTTTACTAATTTCCATGACGATTCGATGGAGCAGCCTAGTAATTGCCCCAATACACGACTAGTATTCTGTGCACGATATTTATCTTGAATTAGCGCCCAGTCGGCCAACGCTGCACCCGATTGGGCAATAACTCTCTTCACAATGTTCTTAGTTTGCGGTGCAACCATTAAAAGTCCAGCAGATGCTGCTCCCGCTCCAGGGCCAAACAATGTAATAGAATCACGATCACCATTAAAGAATTCAATATTATCATATATCCACTTTAGCGCCATAACTTGATCTAGTATGCCATAATTGCCAGGTGAGTTTTGATCAGCGGTGGATAAAAAGCCAAGCGCACCAAGTCTATAATTTATAGTCACCACAACCACATCATAAAAGGAGGCGAGAATATGACCTTGGAAGTGATTCGAAGCGCCATGCACAAATTCTCCTCCATGAATATACACCATAACGGGATATTTTTGAGCGACGCCAGCACCAGTCTGTAAAAAATCAAATATGTACATACATAATAATAATTAAATAAATGCATCTAGATGGTTACCTTTGGGGAAAAAATATTCAAGTAAAGGCAGTCTTCATCCATATCCATAATACCTTTGGTAGCGCCAGTGTAGCGTACCGGTTGTGGGCATGCAGGTCCATAATCAACAGCTTGTAACAACTGCCATCCACGGTGCAAACGCGGTGGCTTAAAGCGACCTTCGAACGTGGGTGGCAAGGCGTAAGGAATGCCCAAGAAAACAGAGCATTCGCCCATCACCCGATCGACAGTTGAATGGTATGGTCTGTAGAATGATTTGGGATCAGGGTTGTCATACATATAGACCTTGAAGCCTTGCACTTGGCCATAATTGGTCGTGACAAATACATCGCGATCTAATGTCAGCGAGTCACGTCGTTGTTTGCCCTGCAAATCTTCACGCCAGCCAGCCAAAATGCCAGGGAAGGGTGTATGCCCAACGTTCGGGTTATTCTGTATATTAAATGTTAATTAAATGATGAATATCCAAATTCTCCATGTGTAAATACTGTATTGTGTATATACATACATACGTTTGGCAATGAAAAAATATTGATTAAATAAGCCATTTAGTTGTCATAGATTTACTTATTAAGAATTTCATGACGAATGGGGTCAAGTGACTCATTGATCTACGGTTCAATTACTTCACTTTCCAAATTAAAGCCATTCATATGTACGGTGCACAGTGTCAAACAAAACAAATTTTCATTTTAATAAGTATTAATAAATTGATAGAGTAATATTAACGTCTACAGAAAACAAAGTGGCATATTTGAGTGCTCACAGCTAAGAAAGTCATATATCTTTATCGCCGAAGTATAGCAAAATATGTACATTACCCCTACGCTGCACCTAGGTTCAATCCCCGTTCCTAACAATAGCATAAGGTTTATTTAATAGCCATTCCTCTAATAAGACAGTGGCAAACAGCCAAATATATAATATATCCGCTATGGAAACTTCTCACATAAGTCCGACACTGTTTTAAGGCGGCTTACCACTTTCAATCAGCACTTACCAGCACGGTTAAATTCAAGAAACTTATGACAAACAGGAAGAGAAGACTTCAGTCAAGCTTTTAACACATAATGTTATTTAGTTTTTAAGTTTATGAAAAAAGGAGAGAGCCTGAAATTTCTCAAAACTACTATCGGCGGTTCACCATGTAATAATAATTATTACACTATATAATTCTCGACTGGATAATGTACCAATTTATGTTTTTTGAAGAGATTGAGTCATAAATAAAAAAGTCAAAACTATAATTTACCGTGTTTTACACAGAGGAGTCGTTGAAGCTACTCCTGGATGCTCATTTTCCCCTGAATCACTCTGCTGAAGAAGTGGCACTGGAAGAGCTTTAGAAGGGCTGTACAGCCTTCTTGGACCTTCTGGATGAACGTCTCCTTACATGAGCGTTGGGCAAGGTATCATGCAGTTAGCTGGCCCCCATCTACGCGAACTGTGATAGATTGGGCCATGTCCCGAAGGCCTGGAGACAAGTTAGGGTTACATTTATTTCGAAGGCCGGTAAAAGCTCTCACGTCGGTGCAAAAGATTTCAGACCCATCAGCCTATCCTCGTTTCTTTTGAAAACGTTGGATTTGTACATTAGGAGCAGAATACCGAGGGGTAAACTGGTACGGGCGCAGCATGCCTATATCAAAAGTAGGTCGGTCGACGCTGCTTTGCATGATTTAGTGTCATGGCTAGAGATAGCTCTTATGCACAAGAAATTCACTGTGGGTACCTTTTTCTTCATCGAGGGGGCCTTCAATAATGTGCGGCCAGAGGGAGGGGTGAAGAATAGAAGAAGCACCTCATATTTAGTCTTCTTCGGAGTGGGGTAGTGCTAAGACAACCAGAAAGGTTAATAGGGAAACTCCGCAGAGAGGGGTACTCTCCTCACTGCTCTGTATCTTGGTGATTAACGGCTGTCGGGCGATAGCCTATGCTGATGATGTGGTTCTTTTGGTTAAGGGAATCCTAAATACCCTCTACGAGCTTACGGAAGGGTATCTAAACGTGGTATCTAACTGGGCGAATAGAAGCGGCCTAGCCGTCAACCCAAGTAAAACCGAAATGGTTTTATTTACATACCCAAGTAAAACCGAAATGGTTTTATTTACTAGGAGGTATAAGATCCCAAACGTGCCTCTCCTCTCTTTCGGGGGTTCACGACTTCAACCTGTTGATAAGGTGAAATACCTAGAGCTTTTCCTTGATAAAAAGCTTTCCTGGAGGCCAAACAATTGTTGAAACTACAAAGCCGATGAGCTAGACAGGGGCCCCCGCCCCGCTCACATCGGAATGAGATCGAGTTGGATCTCCATTAACGTCTTTCATCCTAGCTTTGGATCAATGGCCCTCGCGTGCGCTCAGCAGACGCTGTTCGACGACCAACTTCTGTTCGACCGCGAGATCCTTCTGGCTGATAGTGAATCGCAGGAGGTCGGGGGAACTTCTCGCCTTGAGCAAAGTTCATCTCGCCGCTATGGTAGGAGTTCTCACTGGACACTGTCCAATGGGCACTCACGCGGTATGGCTTAGAATACTTCCCGATGTTAGTGGTCAAAGTTGTATGGAAGAGAGTGAGGTGGATTCATCCCGGCACTTTATCCTTCACTATCCGGCTTTTGCTTGGCTGAGACTGAAACATCTCGGCAATCACACTGTCGGCGGGCCTGAATACTTAGCCGAAATGGATATTGGCCGCCTCAACAAGTTTGTTATAGGCGCTTTGTCGGCATGTTAGGGTCTTTTGATCCAGCTTATAGAAGTTTTTAGGTACCAACACGGACCGGCGTTTAAGCTGTCCAAGCATGATCCTTCTTAGGATCGACCTCCCAACTTAACCTAACCTAGCGTACGTACATAATTTTTATATATATTTATATATATATTGGGAGTATGCAATAATTCGTGCGGTTTTTTTTTCAAAAATTAAGACTTTATTGTGAAAAAATTGTTATACATTTAATGTTCAAAGTATTGCCCATCGGAAGCTACGATGTTTGCCCATCTTTCTGGCAGTTTGTGGATCCCATCCCAAAAAAACTTTTCCGGCTTGGAGGTCAAGAAAAAATCGAGCCAATTTCTTATACCCTGTTCTGAAGTGAAGCATACTCCGGTGAGGGCATTCTGCATTGATCTGAACAAGTGTTAATCGGACGGTGCTATGTCTGGGCTATAAGGCGGGTGAGGTAGAACTTTCCACCCACAGTTTTCCAAATAGTTTTTAACTGGCCTTGCAACATGTGGTCGAGCGTTGTCATGATGAAAAATTATTGACTCGTGTCTGGTCGCATTTTCTGGTTTTTTTCAAACGAATCAATTGTTTTCGATAGAGGTCCCCATTGATCGTCCGACCCGATTTCAATAGCTCATAATAGAGCACACCCTTGTGGTCCCACCAAATACATAGCATAACCTTGGCACCATGGATATTCGGCTTTGCCGTGGATATCGATGGTTGGCTGGGCCTTACATACGATCTCTTGCGCTTTGGGTTATCACAATGAATCCATTTTTCATTGCCAGTGACAATCCAATGCAAAAATAACTTCTTTTGGTGGCGTTGAAGCAACATTTCCGACATGCAGAATCGACGTTCGACGTCTCTTGGCTTTAATTCATAAGGCACCCAATTTCCAAGCTTCTGGATGAATCCTAATGATTTTAATCGTCTCGAAACGGTTGCTTGATCAACTCCTAATACTTTTGCAAGTTTTTCTTGCATCTGGCATGCATCTGCGTCGAGCAATGTCTCCAATTCTTCGTCTTGAAATTTTTTTGGCTATCCGGGTCGTTCTCCGTCGTCTAAGTCGAAATTGCCACTTTTAAACCGTGCAAAAACACTTTATCTGGTACAAATTTCGACATTTTCAAATGAATGAAACAAATTGTTGTTCACTCTAAAACAAATGACATCCACTGAAAATGAATATAGCCACAGATGAACACGACGCGAAATAATACTAGTAGAGCCCTCTCTTAGAAAACTCTGTAACAGAAAAGACAACGGTTTGGTGTGATTTGTGGGCCGGTGGAATTATCGGTCCATATTTCTTTAAAAATGATGCCGGTGAGAACGTTACCGTCAATGGCGACCGTTATCTCGTCATTATAACCGACTATTTGATGACAAGATGGCGCCACTTCCGATATATCGCAGCAATCAACAGATTTATTGAGAAAACATCGGTGAGCAGATAATTTCACGTTTTGGGCCGGTCGATTGGCCACCAAGATCATATGATATCACACCGTCAGACTTTTTCCTGTGGGAATATGTAAAGTCTAAAGTCTATGCTCGAACGAGTCATCGGAAATTGTACTCAACGGATGGACCATCTGAGACGTAGCTACGGACAACATTTGAAAGAGATAATCTTCAAAAAGTAATTTCAAAAAATGTTCTTTCGAATGATAATAAATATTCCCATTAAATTTGAATTTTCTGTGTTTTTTTTTTTAAAGTAGGTAATCTTAATATAGATCACTCATACATATATGCATATGTATATGTAGATAGTATTTCTCTTTAAAAAGGAAAGCTCGGAAAATAATTTTTTAAATTTTCTTAAAAGCGTAATTTCTATTTCTATACACTGAAAAATTTAAAAGAAATCTTAGGTTGTCAGTCCTTTTTGGATGTACCAATAACATTTTCACAGTTCCATGCGATTTCTATACACTATTTGGCAGGCGCTTTTGTTTATTTTAATATTTTGTAAAAAATCTTAGATTGAACATATTTTTCAGAAACTACCATATGCTTGTAGATCAAATTTCATAAACTGTCAGTAACAATTTCATCACGTCAGGAATTTTTACTACTATCAATAAGCCACAGTTTTATAGCTGTATTGCTTCGTTAAAACAGATATACATTATAACTATGTGCATGAGTCTTGAAGTTTAAGTATTTTTCGCAGATATAAAATTCGCAATAGTCACATGTCAGAACATTTTGTGATCTCAATAATGTGAAAATCCAATTAATTCGCCGACATCATATAAACTATCGCAACATGTTGCTACGGAGTATAATAGTTTTGTTCACCTAACAGTTGTTTGTATCACCTAAAACTAATGGAGTTTGATATAGGGTTATGCATATATAAATGATCAGGATGAAGAGACGAGTTGAAATCCGGGTGACTGTCTGTCCGTCCGTCCGTCTATGCAAACTGTAACTTGAGTAAAAATTGAGTAAAATCTTTATGAAACTTGGTACACATGTTTCTTGGTACCGTAAGACGGTTGGTATTGTAGATGGGAATAATCGGACCACTGCCACGCCCACAAAACGCCATTAATCAAAAACTAATAAATTGCTATAACTAAGCTACACAATTAGATACAAGACTGTTATTTGGTATACAGGATCACATTAGGGAGGGGCATCTGCAGTTTTTTAAAGTGGTTGTGGTCCCGCCCCCTAAAAGGTTAAATGTGCATATCTCCTAAGCCGCTAAAGCTATAATAAAAAAATTCACTGTATATTTCCTATATAACAACATTTTAAATTCCCTCTGATTCTTTCACTTTCCACAATGCAAATCAAGCAACAATGATTGTATCGGGGTAAAACTTTTTTGTGACCAAAAATTGCCTAAATCGAACCAAAACTATTCAAGCCCCCAGGTACCGAATATGTGAACCAAAGTTACTATTGCAAACATTTTACCGAATATATCGGTCAAAGTCGGATATATTATTGAAATTTTAAAAGAACTATCCCAGGCTTTGGTCTTAGCAAGTTGCGAGAGTATAAAATATTCGGTTACACCCAAACTTAGCCTTTCCTTACATGTTTTAATTAGATACATCCATATGCTATAAATACACACAATAACTTTATTGTTTTAAAAATGGGTTTCTGCCATTGCTCATTGAATTAGTTTACTTTATCACTAAAATCTTATTATGTCTAACGTTAATATTTGTATATTCAGGTGTATGCTTTTAGGGTCAATCGTAATGTTGACATCAGCGTAAATGACATTAAAAATTGGAACATGAATCGTCTGGTGACGATAATGACGAATAATATATGTATATAAGAAGATATTCAAGAATAATATATATAGGAAGGGAATTCTCCGAGGCAATTGAAAGCAGCAATATGAAAACAATAATGATTCAAATCAGGTGAAAGAACTTATCAATATAGGAACGAAAATTTTAAGAGGTAAACGAAAAAGTCGACTGCTCCTTTAAACCATGCATTACAAAATAATATATGTTAAGTTTCTTCGCATGAAAATAATCAAGAGTGTCTGAAAATCCTAACCAAACAAATTATAATAAGTTTGTTTTTTAACAACGGTTATGTTGAGAAATACTAAAATTGCGATAACTCGGTGAAAAAATTGGACAATGAGCGTGGCCCTATTTGGGTGAAATCCTGTATCTCATATGATTCTTTCACTTTACAGTAAATAAATAAAGCATCAATGAAGTTTTTAGAATACAAATTTGCAAAAATAGTCCATTTTAGGTATGCAAACCCAAGTTTAAAAATTGTCGAAATCTGACCAAAACATTTAAGCACCCAAATACCATTTATGGGACCCCAGTTACTATGGCTTATCGTTTGATATGTGAGATATATTATTTGACTTCGAAAGAATCTTACCGACAGTTATATGCGCTTTTGTTAAACATTAATAAAATCGGGTTAATACTTCTGCTACCCCCCCTTTTTTCACTATACTGATTTTTGAACTTTCGGTTTATGGGTAAGATGTTTTAGCAAAATTAAGTAAACATATATATAAGATATACTAAAGTTGAATGCCGAAAGTGTGTGAAATCGATCCACGAATTACCCCAGCTTCCATATCCTACATATAATGATTTTCGTTATGTTAGGTTATGTTGTGTTCAAATATGTTGTTGTGTGTAAGTTATCTCCATAAATTTGAGTGGGAACATTTTTTCGAGTATACTCGACTTTCCACTTCGCTTTAAACCGTTTAAATCGGTCAATATATGTGATATTTTAATGAAATTAAGTGGACAAGTTTTCTTAAATGTAATCTGGTTTAACGCTGAATATGAATCAAATTGGGCTAAGCTTTGGTCATATCTCTAATATACAGATTTCCGATTCTCTGGTTGATGTTTTCCGCATATACATGTGTATATATACCTATATTAAATATCTATTAAATTTAACCATTTTAATTGAGTTTATATCACAAATATCTCATTTGAGTTATTAGTTGAGAATATTTCGGACAAACAAAATGTAATAATGTTAGTTATAAAGATACCAAATTTAATTATATTTAATCCACTGGGTTTCTTCGAATAATGAGTGTTGAGTTCTTACGCCACATGTTTTAATACAAAGTTTTGCAACACCTGAAAGTATTTCTTGCTTTGTTTCTTGTAAATTTCGGGAGTATAAAATGGATTTTTTTCAATTCCAATTTTTATTTATTTCAAAGTTATGAAAAAATTAATGATATCGCTGAACGAACTATCGCATTGATATAGAACTAACTCTAACGATTAACAAAAAATATTAACAAAAACAACTCACCTCACAGGTGCAATTACAGCAGTGCCCTAATTGATATAAATTGAATTTTATTAAGAACTACTGGGAGTGTATAAATGATTTCAAATGCAATAAAGAAATTATTAATAAATATTCAAAAATCGGTTCCAAAGTTACGGTATTTTTAATGAAAATATACTTTTTACGTATTATTGAAATGACAAGCTTTCAATGCTCATCGACATATTTTGTAATTAAGCTACAAATCCTGCCTTGCAGTGATATTTTTGCTATGTATATAAGTATCGAAAGGTTAATTTTAACCCATTAATCAGATAATATTTTTCTTGGATCATTCCAATATACATATTCATTTCAAAATTATCACCAATTCAAAGTCTAACCACTTTTGTGGATTTTCAATTTTGTCTTTGCTTTGACTGATTAATCGACAGACACAACCAGAATTAAATTTCGCTATGAATCTGCCATAGTTTCTGAAAATACTCATTTAAAATAGTGTTAAATAGAGGCAATGGGCAATTAATCTCTATTGTTCTATCGCGAGGTAATAATGTCTGTTCAGTTTGTTAATCTTACTGATCAAAATTTCCTTTCATCTATAACGACTTACCGGATCAAATCGAAATCGCTCTTCGCTGGGCATGCCCTGTGGATATTGCCCTGGCGAATTTCTACCAGGATAGTTCGTACTATATCCGTTAGGTAAGTAATGTCCATAGCGGCGATCATTAAATATGTATGTTCTAGAAAATTAAAAGCGGTCAACTAGAGTTTATATTATATTATTATTAGCTTGATTTGTCCTTTACCTGTAATCTGGATCACCTGGGTTCGGCCAATTATAGTCATTGACGCCGGGTCGTGAAAAAAACCGTGGATCGCGAGTTTGCGCTTTGATGCCACAAATGTTGCTTAAGACTAAACAGAAAGCTATGACTAACATTGTAGAAATCTTCAGTTTATCACGATATTTAAAATTTTGTATTCGAATGGCTTTTGTACATTTAAGCAGTTGATCGACAGTTTTCTGGTCTACATTGTTGATTATATGGTGATGTCTGTACACTCGTTCTTTCGTATATATGTACGTCCTCTTATTTTTAGTGATCATATTATATGTTTTGAAAAGGTCTGATGCCTTTGTCGTTTATTGTAATCAGATTGATAGCTTTATAAAGAACTAGTAATTCAAGTGCATGAAGGATAAGAGCTAATCGTAACTAAATATGTATCTGAAAATTAAGATGAAAGTTAAATATTTTGTATTCTTGTCATAAAAAAGTGGGGCAGGAAGAAATCAGACGGTTTAATTCAGAAATGTATCCATACAGCTTATGTTAAGTGCATTCATATAATATAGTAACTTAAATATGTTTCAACCTAGTTTCTAACCACCTTGGATCTCTATAGACATTGTAAACCTCTTAACGTAACTTTGTCGTTAAGAAAGGTTCTTACAATGACCGAGAATGACTTTAAACTTAAAACAAAGTGTGTCTATTCGTTATATAATACCAAGGTGGACACCAAAAGCAGAAGGATGGGCTGATGTGCATGTGATGTGAATATAAACTTTTGAAAAGAGGTGGTATACCGCCAACACTGCTAAAGAGTTTTTTTTTTCAAAATATTAGATATTAAATAAAACCGTGTTATGGTAGTATATGTTATTCAATTGCGTTTCGTACACTCCGTAAATTTAAATTTCATTCGACGGAACCATATTTGGCACTAATTTTTTCTCTTAAGGATAAATAGAGACAGAATATGATAATGATGTTGGTGTGAATAATCTCATCCTTTCATTGAGAATTTAGCCGCAATTCCTCAACCTGTGTCCACCGTATTCGAAGATGTAATTGGTCAGTCACAGGCATAGTATATAAAGTAGGTTTTCGCAACCGCAGATACCCACATTACGAAAAGAATACTTACAAAGACAAGGAGGAGCAAAAAGCAGAGTCGACATTATCTCATTTATCAGCGGGAGGCCAAAATAAGTGAATATGCAAAGTTTGATATGCTAAATGACAGCAAGAGCAACCAAAAACTCTATCCGCAGGTACGATGGCTCATAGAAGGGTTTAAAAATGTGGTAAATTCCTGCACATTCGAGAAATTGCCTTAACTAATTGAATCAATAAATTTAACTTTCTATTTTTAAACGACGTTTTTCGATATTTTAACAATTATTCTGCTATTCGGAAAGAACGCAAATCGAACGAATCAGAGATCATCAAAATCAAACCAGTCGTTCTTGAGTTATAAATGGTGTAACTAACCTGATTCTGTTTTATTTCTTATAGATTCATATATTTATTACAATTTCCCTTTCTAATTACAAAAATCAATTACTAATCGGCTCCTAACATGTGACGTCTGCAGTTCAAGCAATTTGCATTTACTGTTATATGTAGTGAGTCAAAAATCCCGATTTAAATTACAAACGTAATATTGGTAAATATTTAAAAAGGTTATTAATAAAGATAGGTAAACATTGTTTTTTATATAACCAAGCGCCAAATCTTTAAAAACATATGGAGATGTAAATATCACCCACCATCTGTAGGATGAGAAGGATTAGTCTCTACATAAATCGCTATATTTGGTATCGCAAAATGGGAACCTTTAGGGGGAAAAAATATTTGAAGCAATCAAATTAAATTTTGAATAGGCACCAACTTTCGAAATGTGAACTAAGCATCACTGCTCTCCTAAATTTCTTATGCGGTTGTAGATACACATTTTCAAGCCATCTTTACATTTAATAAAACATGTTATCACGTATGTTAGCAGCGAAACGGAGTCTTATTAGATAAAATAGATTAAAAAACGAATATTTTTAGTAAAAGGATTGTAATGAAAATGTGTAATAAAATAATAAATTCTCATTATAAACACAATTGGAAAAAAATTACAATACTGCGAGTTGTTGTCCGCACCGAAGCTATAATACCCTTCACAGGTGCGTTTTTTTTTTAGTTCAATGCCATACCAAATTTTGTAAAGTTATCTTGTCAAATAAATTTCCATAAGAGAACTTCATTTTAATCCATCAGGTTGTAGTGCAGATATATATTATAGTATTCCGATCTGAACAATATGTTTGGGGATTGTATCGTTGTCTTGGACAATTTATGTCGAATTTTGTGAAAATATTTTGTCAAATAAAAAAGTTTCCATACAAAAACTTGATTCCATTCAAGACTTGATAGCATATATCTGGCATACAAACTGACCTCTCCGACATTTCTTTTTGGGTGTTACAAACTTAATAAACCCCTAAAAACATATTTGAACGTATTTTTACATATATTCTATCGGAAATTTTAATGTGTATCACTGCGTATAAGAATATTGAGCCGGCGAAAATAACGTACCGACGTTCTGTCGATTTTTGTTTTTTATATATTGTAGTTGACAATTACCAAACGCATCTACACCAATATTTTCAAAAGCCAATTCAGTCTAATAAATGAGATATCGACCGAACAATTACAACGCAAGCGACGAACAAGCTTCTTTGCGCCTACGAAAATAACATACTTATGTATATATGTATGTATGTATGAAATATGAATAAAAAAAACTGAAAAACGTATGAGTATGATTCTTCTGAAAGAATTGAAATTGCATATCACTGAAAATGGTCTGAAAATATGGCAAACGTAGACTTTGGACGACAGAAAAACTGCCAAGTTTATATGTTTATACTGCAATACTTGAACTGGGTAAAACCGCAAAAGAGCCATCTATGCATGAATCGATTCTTTATAAAATCAGCTACATTTATTGAATCGGTAAAGATAACATATAATATTTGTTGCCAGGGCATACATGATTCTGTGTACAGCACCATCGAATCATTTACTCGAATAAACAAGATGTGCATGAACCGACTTGGAAATAACTATTAATTCCAGAAACGGGAAAATCTTAATTTATGATTCCTTCATCTGACTAACGCAATTATAGCTATACATGTATCGCTATCGCTCATAAACTAACTTGATTATTGGAGTTTGTAAAATAGTTAAAGAAAGATTTCGATAAGAATTTATTAGTTATTTATAAAGAAAAATATGTTTTGCTACTATATGTGTGCACACAATATTCAAATATTAATAAGAACACCAACCAACATAATTTCCGTCAAACACAATTCAAAACAAGAAAAAGCGTTAGCTTCTGTTACACCAAAACTATAATTTTATATAATAGCCTTCACGAAGACTGAAGATTTAACTTAATTTGATCGTTCTGTTGTATGGTCATATGCTATAGTGATCCGATATTGACAGTTCCAACAAATGTGCAGCTTCTTGGAAAGAAACGGACGAGTGCAAAATTTCAGATTGATATTTCGAAAACTGAAGGACCAGTGCGCGTATGTACAGAGTGACGATCATGGCTCAATCGACTCCGCTCGTCACACTGATCATTTATATAACATATACATATGTATGTACACTTTATAGGGTCATCGACGTTTCCTTCTGAGATCCCTGTTCAGGGTATAAAAAACAATGTTAGCTTTCAAAAGTGGTGTCTAACTATCCAAAAGTTGCTTCCACTTGCATTTTGTGAATTTACTTTGTCGCTGTTCACGGTGTGAAAGCCATTTGTTTCCCATAATACTTTTCAGTTTTGAGTATTATTCGGTAAATGACAAGGAGGAGTACAGAAAATAAAAATAATGGTAAATAATAGCAAAATTTGTTATTGAAAAAAATAATGACCTTGAGGAAGTTTATTTTCACAATATCAGACAATGTGGGAGAAAGTACTAAAAAGATGTTGGCAATGTGGAGGTCACGAGTGATCATGCTTTTCGCTAGTGACCCCCACATTGCCCACACTTGTTTAGTACTTTCTTACTAGATGAGCTGAAAAGCCTATATAATATATACTGTAATCTCGACGTTCAATCGACACAGTAACGCTTATTAATATATGGTAGATTTGCCGTAACTTTTATTAAGCTATGGCTTGCAGCAACGGTATTATTTAACTGTCTCACTTTGAGACTAATAACTTGAAAATTATTGAATGAAATGTCAACAATTTTTTGACAAGATTTAATTAAGGTTAGTACTCTACATAAGGATAAAGATGTTGTAATTGCCAGGCCAAATACTGATCTAATACATTATAAAATATAATTTTATTAATTCTCACTCCTACGCATTTATTTCCTCTTAACTAATAACGTCTGCCAGTTTAGATTGCATTAAATGTTAGATTTTATAAACAGCTGATGAATTTAGATCTGAAGCTAAAAATCTAAATCCTCAACAGACTCCTGCTTATCGTAACTTGTGGCAAATAAATAAAATCTTTCAGTGAAAAAAGATGAAAGATATTTGCGTTAATATTTCAAAAGAATATTTACTCATCCAATAATTGAAATATTTGATATCAATGAATATGTTCCAATAGTATAACAATCAGACAATTTTTAATTCAGTATATTTTTTATGAATATCATTATGAAAAAAGAGGCTGTAACTATTACACAATTTCGTCTATTTTTAAGACGTTATATGAAATATATATTTCATTTATATATTTTATAATATTTCATAATCCCACAATTACTCTTAGATTTTGAGATCAAGTAACAGTTTCTATTTAAATTGGTTACTGCAGTTTGGTTAGCGTTAACCAATTTTCTCGTCTGCAATAGCAATTTAGAAATTTAAAGGCCCTAACTATGATATACTATATGTATTTGAAATCAATATATTCTTATGTATATATGCCATTAAATAATGTTAGCTTAAGATTATATAATTTCCAAGCATTTTGTCAGACATTGATAGTTATATTTGATATATGTATGTATGTATGTGCTGAAATGACTAATGTAAATATATGTATGAAGGATATGAGAACTGGGGTAATGCGAAGGCCGATTTCTCCCGTTTTCGGAAGCTTGAAAATCCTTAAATTGGTTATATTAATATAATTGGAATTTTATTAAGACTGATACTTTCGGTAAAAAGGGAGCTTGAAACGTTATATTTCGGTTTTGAACATTTTTATATGAGAGATTCCGTACCTTGAAGGCACTATTTGTGCAAAATTTATATGCTGTAAAGTTAAGGATTCAGATGGAATTTAGTATTGTATTGTATTGTATGAGTAGTAGGCGTGGTTTATGGTTCGATTTCGCGCATTTTCAAACTCTGACATTAAAGTATTTATAAAAAGTTATGCATCGAATTTGGTTGAAATAGGTCGAGTATTGCTGAGATATGGAATTTTTCCTAAAAGCTGGCAGTGAAACGCCCAGTGTTAAATTGTAATACCGATTTATTTACATTTTCCTACATCAATTTTTTCACTGTGCTAGCGAGTTTTGTTTATATAGCCTTAGTAGTCTGTGAAATATGTAAATTAAACTTATTAGTGAGCGCCTACTATTTAAAAAGTGTTAAACCCAGGTGCCCCTTCATATAGCAACATTAATTTTATAGCTCTTTATAAGTTTTTACTTAACGGCATTTAGTATGCCTGACAGTGGTCTGATTTCGTCCATCTGTAGCCTTCTCAGAGTGGCAATAAACACGTGTACATAAAAATATCTCATGTTTATGGACGAACGGACAGTCAACCGGAATTCAACACGATATTGGTTATACTTATGTATCATATAACCCTATAACCAACTCGGTTAGTTAAAAGTGTTACAAACATTCGTTACGTACACAGAACTTGTATACTCTTTGTATCATATTATGAGAGTATAAAAATGTGAAATAATATGTAGTGAATTAGTGCATTTATATATATAATATTTTGAAAGACCTTCACATCTGCCTAATTTATATGAATATTATGTTCAATCAATTGCTGTAACTATAGTTTGGCAAACAATTAATTATTGAAATAATTTAATTTTTGACATCCATTTACTTATCTACATATGTATGGTATGTATGTAGGTATGTACAATGTACAAATTGTAAACATGTTGTCGCTGCCTGTGGTTCACAACTTCGCCGTAAATTAATTGCAATTGTGTTAGGAATTAGCTTTGACAAAATATACATTCACATGAACATACATATGTACATACATACACCTTTATAGCTGTAAGGCTTATCTTTACTTTAGAAATACTTCTAGACTTCGCTATTACACAAAACATTCACTCACTTAATATATATTTTTTCATAATAAATAGGTCTGTATTAATGATAATAATTTTTTCAAAAATGTAAATCTAAAAACAATCGATCACGTATATATGTACAAATGTGTGTTTACAAAAGAGTTACCTCTTTTTTAAAACAAAATTGTAGAAGCGGAGCACCGTAACCATTTGCGGCAACGCCCAAAATAGCGTTAAAATCGCGTTTGTTGACAGCGTTTTCTTTAAGTTGTTTTTAGCATTACGAAATACAAAAGCACATCGGCAAACACAAAAACAAACGGCGACACATTCAAATTCACAATCGCGATCGCTTGGGCAGCTCTGTTAGTAATATACTGAATCCCTCATGTCTGATTTTTGCTAACGGCAGCAGCGATGTTGCCACGGTGTATTGGCCAACGCGAGGAACCGAAAGTTACAACGTTCCATTAAAAGGGTTGACTTCTCGTAAATTGGTATGTGTCAGTGGCGCATAAAAGTCATACACAGGCATGTTCACTGGTAACACAACTACATTTACAATATGTTTATAACGTTAATTCACACATACCAATTCACATAAATATGTCTTCACACGCAGCGCACTCTCACCAGTCACTACTTCGGACACATACAGTAGTTTTGTTAACACGCACACTTTGTTACTCTTTTTTGGCAACTGCGTAGGTGTGTGTTTGATATTGTAGAAAATTATTCACCTTTTTCGATATCTTACAGAGGCATACCGTTCTTTATTTAATATTTCAGTAAAATTTAATTCAATTATTTTTGTCTTTTTGCAATCAAATTATATTTTAATAAAAATCTAGCAAAAAACCAAATAAACCAGACACGTTAACGTTTCATTTACGAGCACTACTGTCGTTCGGCGCGAGTAATTTCCAACTGTGTAGCTGGTTATAACACTGTCATACATTCGCGTAGTTATGTTTCTTTGCTACTCTCAGTTGCTAATGGTAAGTTGCAGTGCTTGCTGATTGAACTTAGCACTCTCCTCTGAGTGTCCGCTTAGTACTCAGTTCGTTTATGACTTCCTCTCACATTAACCAACGTTTAAAACTTTCAGATTTTTTACACTTGGCTCTCCAACTTGAACATAGCTTAAAAATATTTTTTTAACGACTGCGGGTTCTGACAATTCTTTGGCATTTGATAGAGATGCACAAGAGACCAAATTTGTTTCATAACATTCCAATTTTTATTTTATATTTAGGAAATTTACATACAAATATCAGTAACTTTTACAACTGGATCGCATACTGCTAATCGTTATTTTTTGCTTAATTTTAACGACATATGTATGTTACACTCACCATATACAAGTATGTATGTATGTATGTACGGTTAGGAGAACATGTAAACCGATTTAATCACTTTTTAGCAGTAAACCACATTTTGTATCATATTCACCTCCAAAAAGATACCTCACATACATATGTATTAACCTATGTATTCGGTATAAAGTCATCCGAAAGAACAGAAATCATTATATTCGGTATAGGATAGCTAGAGCAAGGTCTGGGCCGATTTCATATATTTTTCTCCTAGTGCATAATCAAGAAAATATTTCCATCCAATCCAATACGATAACTTAAACTTTGATCGATTAATTCCACACAAATTTAACTAGAACTACGATGTAATAATATTTACACAGATAATATGAAGATACAAATATATAAAGTCAAACGTATTTATTTCCCTAAGGAAGTTCCTATTGGGTGAGAGGCAGCTTCTTTCGCCAAATAAGTATAATTTAATTAGGAAAATTGTTGCTGTATGATTTATGTACTATGGAGGTATATACATGAGTAAACTCACTTGGAAGAAACCCTCATGTTGCAATATTGCACGAACTTTCAAACATGCATACAAGTATGCACTTATATATTTAAGTGAAATAATTAGAAATTATGCAAACGCCTGCTATTACTAATACTCTTAGGCCCTTTGTTGAGCACTAATAAGCATGTAGTTTCTTCAACGGCTATAAATGTGGTCGACTAGTTTTGACCCACCAATTAACTTTTAAATTAGTGCTTCACGCGCCTATGACCTCTGAGATACTGTAAGAATCGCCATTATCCATTAATAAAAAAAACTATGTTGGTTGACTTTTATTTAACACGCAAAATTGTGCTTATTTAATATTAAAAAATTGGAAATGGATAATGTAAATCTATCAATTATGTACATATGTATATTTGATATTAATAAGGTCCTGAAATTTGAAACTCAAAAGCTTTGTTGCGGCAAATTGTTAAGTATCCCTTACATACTTTTCTTTTCTTATATTGCCAGCTCCTCAAAGGTCTCCTAACGAAGATTTTATGCTGGAAATATCTTTAGAGGTTTTGCCATTGCTTGTAGAAAAACTTAATTTATATACATAATTAAAAAACAAAATGTATATCCAATTTTTTAATACCGCAACGATTTCTTATGTTTCCAAACTGTTTTGTCGGCCTTTGTCTTCACTGTTCAGACTCCTTCTTATTTCTTCATATGCCGGTTCTCACTTTTGCCTCTCTTTGACAGAAAATACTTGGGTCACTATTGATTAAAAAATCGGTTTTTAAAGTCTCAGCAATAAGCCAAGTCGGGTAAGATGCCGAATTAAATTAACTGTTAGAAAAACATTTGACATTATGGAATCGTTTAAAGATAAGCGTACTTAATCAGCGACCTCAAGTTGACTATATTTTCGTTTAACTTAATTAACGTCGCAGCTTATTTTTAGATTGAGAATCGTAAAATATATTATTATTTTAATGTTGTGTGTGATAACTATTTTCGTATTTTCGGGTGTGATTTTTTGTCATCCCCCCAGCAGCGCCTCATTTAACTCAGCTTGGTTGGAATTTTCAATAACGTTCACACTGAGCAAGGGAGAAGAATTCCATATACAAATGCCTGATTTGTGTTACAGGTCATTGTGGTGATAAAAACGGAAGTGCTCTAGAATACCACGATACTCAGCGCGTGGAGGAAATTGTTTTGAAGTACATATTTTTATCTAATATTCCTTTAATAAACTATAGATTTTCCAAGCTGGCTTCTGACATACAAGGTAAAACCATCAAACTATCGCTTTAAATTTATCTTTGTTTAGCTTTGCATTTGTAGCTTCCGTCTTTCCAATTATGTTAAATTTTGACCCGTCTGTAAAAATTACTAAATTCAAAAGTCATTAAAATCATGAAGCACCCAAAGGACAGTTTCTGCACTGAATGAATTTCCAAATTCAGATTGTACATCAATAGCCACATTTTGAGCGAATTGCTTGGATTTGTTTTGAATTTTTTCCAACAATATATCGCCCACAACTTGGGTGATTATTTTAGTGTGATTTAAGATTAATTTGCAATTTTTTCCACTAGTAGATGTAGCCCTATCGGTATGGATACTGTTAATTTCAATGTTCTTATATTTTTGTTTGTACCGATATCTTTCAATAGATCCTATAGCCCAAGATTTTGTCAGGCAAAGTACTCTGGGACTAATTCATATGCATAACGATACTGCTGATTTAGTTGAGCAATCCAACCTATATTTTTTTCATGGCTATCGGACTTTTACTGCCCGACTGTATGTTATTAATGACGTTATAAGGTTAGATAAAACTTAACAGCACATGTTGTCCCATCTGTAGGTAAAAATTTGTGGGACCGTTGCCTGAAGACCGAACAATGACAGTATACGTATACCTTAATCCTTTTAGTTCGATTAATACAGCGGATGTTATCTTCCCACAAGGGCAAGACTTTTAAAGTTTGCGAATGACTATACGACAGATGAAATAAATGCCTGTGAATATCTTATCAAAAAAAGCAACGATACGAACTTCATATGCATACAAAGATAATATTTTAAATTTTATGTAAGTGGTTCACAGCTTATTTTATATACTATAAATACTTTAAAGTATTAAGTTAAACAAGTAAGGTAGTTCAAAGTGCGAGTGTAACCGAACATTTTATACTCTCGCAACTTGCAAGAATCAAAGCTCCAAAATTTTATATTAAAGGAAGTATTGATCCGATCAACCAATTTTTGACACAAAGACATACTATTATCGAGAGTTTCATTTATATTTTTGATTATATGAATTTCAATTATATATCTTACACATTGACCGATATTTTCAGTAAAAAGTCAACTATGGGCATTGGGGTCCACATATTCAGTACCTAGGGGCTTGAACAGTTTAGGTTCGACTTAGACAATTTTTGGTCCCAAGGTGGCATACTTCAAACGCATTATTCACGCAAAGCTTTACCCCGATACAATCATTGCTGCTTGATTTGCATAGTGGAAAGTGAAAGAATTAAGTGGAATTTAAAATGGTGTTATATGGGAAATAGGTGTGGTTGTAATCCGATTTTCGCACTATAACATAGAAATATAAGAAGAATGTTATGTTCCGAATTTGGTTGAAATCGGTTAAGCAGATCCCAAGATATGGGTTTTCACCAAAAGGGGGCCGATGCCACGCCCACTGACTAATTTTGAACGTGGTTCCTATAAAGTCATCTTATACCATCCCAGAGATACAATTTAATGTCTCTGCCGTGTTTAGTGCTTAATTTATCACGCTTTTAGTAGGTTTTAACAGTACCGTTATATGGGATGTGGGCGGGGTTGTCACCTGATTTCACCATTCACACTGTTAATAGAGGTGATAAAAAAATTGCCAGTGAATTTTGTTTTTATAGCTTTAGCGGCTTAGGAGATATGCACATTAAACCTTTTAGGGCGCGGAACCACGCCCACTTTTTTTGAAAAATTTAAACTGCAGATGCCCCTCGCTAATGTGATCCCGTATACCAAATAACAGTCTTGTATCTTATTGTGGAGGTTAGTTATGGCAATTTTTTTGTTTTTGATTAATGGCGTTTTGTGAGCGTGGCAGTGGTCCGATTACGCCCAGCTGCAATTCTAACCGTCTTACGGTACCAAGAAACGTGTGCACAAGTTTCATAAAGATATCTCAATTTTTACCCGGATTTCAACTCGTCTCTTCATCCTGATCATTTATATATACATAACCCAATATCTAACTCGATTAGTTTTAGGTGAACAAAAAAATTATACCCTGTAGCAACATGTTGTGATAGTATAAAAAATGGATCGCTGAACCACAATCGAACAACGGGAACTATATTATATCAATCATTAAAATTTCATTTTAATTTCATAAGATAATTTAAAAATTAAGATAATTTAAAAATAGTATTTTGACCTGATGTTATCCACTTTTGGTATTACGTCATATTATTACCAGAAAAATATTCTCTCTAAGTTTCATGAAGGTACCTAACAGATTGACTAATATATATGTTATAAAGTGAAGTTTTAAATTTTTATATTAAATATGTATATGGGATTTTACCCATTGTATTGACCCGATTTTACCACAAATAAAAACACGTTATTAAGCAAATATGCGCTTTGAATTCCATTTATATATTCCACAGATTGACCGATATTTTCGGTAAAAAGTCAGCCATAAGCACAACGGTCCACATATTCCGATAACTTCATTGGTGCTCGAGTTATATACTGTACATTGAAGAAATTTAAAATTGAGTTATAAGGGCAGTAGAAGTGGTTGTGGTCCATTTCGCACATTTTGAAACTATAACATAAGAATATTATGAAAAATTATTTACTTGAAATAGGTCTAGTCTTAGCTGACCATTCGCGGCGGTTTGGCCGGGACAGTCTGGATTCCGAATCATTGTATAAATCTACAATCTACAAGTTGTTTTAATTCCTAAAGATTAAATTTACATAGTATTATTTAAATTATTATTTATTGTTTTGAAATATTATTAAAGGTTTCCAATTTCATCAAATATATTATTGTATAACGGTGATTTAGAATATTTTTTAAATATTATTTATTACTTAGTAGATTGTATTGATTATTGTTATTGTTCCTGAATTGTACCTCATTTTTTATATATATTTTCGTTTTTGTTCAAATCAAGTTGAATATTTCAACTTATATTGTTAATGCAATTAATATTCATGAACCTGATTCATTGATTCACCAGATTGTTTTAGAACTGTATTATTATATCGGTGAGTATAAGCCTCCTGGGGAACCGAACACCTCAGAGGTGGTGAGGAAAAGCAATAAATGTATAATAATCGTTTGTTTCGAAAATATTCTTGAATGTTTTTATTAATATTCTCCATTACAAATACATGTTCACAAACAAGTTGTTAAACTACATACTTACATACTTTTTATTTACATCTC